TTTTAAAAAAAGGTTCTTGATTCTACTGTGGTTGTCCACTGTTGATCATCAAATATGATCATCTTGTAGGTTTGTAGTATCTTGAGCGAGATTTTCTTAACAACCTAGATTTTCCGATCTTCAAAACAAAACAAAATTCCATCACTTCTCAACCTTAAACATTTGGGTTTCTTTGAAAGATTATTTGATATAACATAACACACAAAAGAAAATTAAGCTAAACTTTTAAAATTAATTAAGGTTTTTAGTTGAGATAAAGAAGGCAGTGTCACGAGCGGGATTCGAACCCACGATCTTCGGCTAGATACGCCGCTGCTCTACCACTTGAGTTATTGTGACCTCGATCCACTCGGGCACTAACTTCCCATCTCAACCCCATGTTTCGAATTTTCCCTCCTTTTTTCAAATGTGAATATATTTGATTCTCTGCGACAAATGAAATAGCCACGGAGAGCTTTTGTGAAGTATACTTCATTTCAACTTATTAAATTAACTAGTTTTCATGGCCCGCTTGACCAATTGATATCTTTCAATTAATTAAGGTTTTTAGTTGAGAAAAAAAAGTCAGTGTCACGAGCGGTGGGGTTGAGATGGGAAGTTAGTGTCCGAGTGGATCAAGGTCACGATAGCTCAAGTGGTAGAGCAGCGACCTAGCCAAAGATCGTGGGTTCGAATACCGCTCGTGACACTGACTTTTTTATCTCAACTAAAAACCTTATTAATTGAAAGATATTAATTGGACAAGCGGACCACGAAAACTAGTGCTTTTAAAATAACTTTAATTTTTCTTCATTTACAGTCGTTTAAAGGCCAAAATAACAACTCCGTAAGTTCAAAATGTCAAAAATTGTTTGTTGAATTTACAAATCTACGTATTTGTAATAGTAAATTTTATACAAAAGAGCAATTTGGTTCGTTAGGTTTTGGACTGGTGCCATTTCCTTACTCGGATGTCTTCAAGCCTTTGACAAAAGAGCGGATATCCAAGTTTTTCCAGAGTTCTTTGAACCGTGTTAATTCACTTTATTTCGGAAATTCAATTAAGGAAATATATAGCGTTTTATTCAGGGCGATTAACATATAAATAAAAATATTATTTTCCTTTTCAAAATAATTTATATTATTTCTAAATTCAAAAGGGGCGGTTGAGATGGGAAGTTGGTGTCCGAGTGAATCGAGGTCACGATAGATCAAGTGGTAGAGCAGCGGCTATCAAACCTAAGATCATGGGTTCGAATCCCGCTCGTGCCATTGACTTTTTTTATCCCAACTAAAAACCTTAATTAATTGTAATATATTAATTGGTCAAGCTGACCACGAAATTAGTGAATTTAATTATTTCTAAGCTTTTACCGATCGAGTGTAATAATTTTCATATTATACTGTTTGAAAAAATTGCAAGTCTTTTCGGATAAATCATTCATTGGCGGCGCGAAGTCAGGGTATAAGCAGGGTGAAGCTAGACGATGACTCCGAATGTATGACTTTTGCTAATAATAAAAACAACTTGCATCGTTTTATTTTGAATGACAAAAGATTTTATAATACAAAACAAATGTATTACTGTATAAATATAAAACCTTTTCAAGATTTTTCCAGCTCAAATGTAAGCAGAAAACTCCCTAACTCTAAACTCTATTTAACTAAAAAAAGCACGTTCGAAACCCTAACCCTACTTAAACTAACCTAGCCCGTTTATAACCCTAAACCTAACCTTAAACCTACTTAAACTAACCTAACCCTATCTCACAATTAATGTTTATGAGATTGTGTTAAACAAAAATCCATTTTTGGCTTCAGGAGTGTTTCTTTTCTAACGTTTTCTGAACGGATTTTGACTTTTTTGTCATACGAAGAAATCGAAAAATATTATAAATCTGAAAATGAAATATTACAATGGACTGAACAAAAAAGTAACTATAATTTTTTACAATTATTTTTTTTATTTTTTAAAGGTTTTTAAGTAACATAAAACTGTAAATATGGCAGTGTTTGAAAATAGAGCTTTTTGCTCAAAAATGGCCCATGTAAATTGTCTTTCTAGAATTAATAGTTTTTTGAAAGTTGAAACCCTGTGTACCTAGAAAGGGAAAGAGATATAAATTTAGATAGATGGATATTAAATAAACAGACAGAGAGCATGATATTGTTAGAAAGGAAATTATAAAACGAGTGCGAGCGAAAAACATAGATTGATCGATTGGAATAGTTAAAGTGGAGTGAATATATCAATTGGTCGATGAAAACGATGGTACTAAAAATAAATCTTTTCTTTGAGTGATAAACCATTACATCGACGACCAAATTAATCAAAATAACTAAAACGTAGAGGATATATTTCTTTGTCCTATAATATATTATTATGTAATCATAGTGTGAGTAGAACCATCTTTTTCAACCAAGAGATTGATCAATAGGTAAAGACAAAAATCAGAAAGACAACAAGAGAGAATGACATATAGAAAAAAGGAAAATGTAAATGTAGATAGATAGAAAAGTGTGTGGTGATTAGTGACCGTTAATCGATATTTATTTAGAAATCGTGAAATGCGGTCTGGTGTGATGTAGGTTTCAGATAAACATTTCCTTTATCGTGCCCACGTTTCGATCTTTATTTATATCTTCAGCGCCTGGGATTTACAAACATTATTTACATATTACAATTACATTTTGGATGTGGAAAAGTGAATTTATACAATGCAAAATATATTTTATATATTCAATCAAAGTATTTGTACACTTTTCCACATCCAAAATGTAATTGTAATATGTACACAATGTTTGTGAATCCCAGGCCCTGAAGATGATCTCAATAAAGATCGAAACGTTGGCACGATAATGAAAATGTTTTTCTGAAACCTACCTCACACCAGACCGCATCTCTCGATTTCTAAATAAAAATAGATAGAAAACGTGAGAAAGGTGTAGATAGATTAGAGAGAAACAAAGAAAAAAATAAAAGGAATGGAGAGAGAAAAAACTGAATTTCTTAAAATTTGAAAGAGAGAATGTAATATACAGGAAAAATAGTGGAGTGATATGTAGATTATATATATATATATATTGATATTAAGAAAAGAGTAAAACAGACTTGTGGATAGGAGAGAGAGAACCTGAGATTGTGTGCTAATTTTGAGCACGTAAAGATGCTAAATGAGAAATGGGTAATAAACCGTAAAAGAAGTCAAAAGTTGACAACTACTCTCCAGAACAAGGAAAATATCTATGAGAGACCGCAGTACAAATGCTTCGAGCATAACTGAAAACGGTATTGCTGAAATAGTTAAAAAGATAGTAAAAAATTAATGAATTAAGCAGGCCATATAATGCGTAGTGGTCAAATATATGCCAAAAGGATAAGCAAACTTACAGGAAGAGGGTGGAAAAGGAACAGGAGACGGATGAAATATATTCAAGAATTTAAGAAGCTAAGTTAATGATGGGTAGATAGACATCAACACCCAACTGTCGTATGTTCGAATCCCGCTCGTGACACTAGCTTTTTCATCTTGACAAAGACCTTACATAAAAAGAATAATTACTTGAAATAATTAATATGGTCTAATCAGACTACTAAACAAATATGGATAATTATAAGTAAAAACAACCCTGCCAAACTGTGGCAGGTTAAGAAAGACGTCGGTCCCTGGTTCACGGAAAATGGGTCAAAAAGGGAAAAGGTCATAGTGACAAGACTACGCATAGGTTATACAAGAATTACGCACGGGCACCTTCTAGCAGCAAAGCGACCGCATAGGTCCCCATTATGCAAGGATAGAGTAAAAGTGGAACACATTTTCAATTGTAGAAGGCGATATTTATAGGCAATATTTTGGAATACCATCAGACCTGTGCGTAGTCTTGGGGCACAAATCGCTGTACCGGTACATCAGGGCTATAGAGATTTTCAAATGTATATAGTTTATTTGTGTTTGTGCTGTGCTTGTATTGTGTGTGAAGTGTTAGTGTCGTGTTTGTGTGGTGTTTATGTTAATATATTAGGATGAATGTAATTTATTAGCGTGAAAGGAAGATGTTACTTACCCCGCTCCGAGGAATATCGAGTACTCTGGGGTGAGTGTGTGATGCCTGGAGAGCAAAGGTAATTTATTAGCGCGAATGTAATAGGTTCGGCCCCGCACCGAGGAATATCGAGTACTCTGGGGGAGTGAATATGACCAGACGATATGTTTGTGGCGATATATGTTATGTAGTGTATGTTGTGTATCTCTTCTTAAATTGACAACCTGAGGTACTAACAAGAAGCTAGCATTTTAAAATAACGACGTAATATACAAGTAAAAGCATAGAGTCAGTAACCAGATCGAGGTGCTCAAATGGCAGTAGTTCAATACAAAACACGCGAGAAGGACAGGAAAGAGAAGGAATAGACGCGGAGGGCCGGCGATGACCCNCTGGGAAGGTACAATAAGCCAGAAGGCTGCAGTGCCCGGGGAGTGCAAACCCCGCTTCCTAGTATCCTTTTCTACCATACCATACCATACCATACCATAGAGCAGCGGTTTATTGAGCCGAAGGTCTTGGGTTCGAATCCTGCTCTTGACACTAGCTTTTTCATCTCAATTTAATTAAAGCAAAAGGACGAAATACGCGATATTGATATGTTAATCAAAAATCTAATTAAAACAAATTTGACCTGTCCGTCTTTTTATTTTTATTTTTTATTGTTTTTATTTCTTTAGAAATTTACTTTTTTTTAGTTTTTTGGACAAAACTCAATCATTAAACGTTAAAAACGTGAACATTTGATAAATATATATACAAATCAAGTTATTTTACATGCGTGTGGAATTTTTTGCCTGTCAGTGTTTATTTGTATTAATCATTTGTATTAATTAAAACGTTCAGTCATCAGCATAAACCGATTTTTCAGAGTAAATATTATGGGAGTTCCATAAAAGTAAATAATTATATGTATGCAGATGTTGTCTTACTTTTAGAATATCTGATAAAATATAATTGTATTTGTATATTTTTAGGGTTGAATGAGGACGACAGTAAAATGGAGGGTAAATTAATAAGCAATATCGAAATGAACGGGAACGAGTACATGAAGGCGAACGGTAAGGACGACAGCGTCCGAAGCCTGGAGAGGAGGCTGAGCAAGCTCTGCTCCAGAGAGAAAAGGGTCAGCTTCAAGACTGACCAGGGCGAGGACACGCAGAAGCTGTTGGACAAGGGACGCTACGAGCAGGAGCTGCAGAAGCTCTACGGGGAGTTCGTTGAGAAGAGGGCGAAACGGGAAGTGGCAGGGACACCGGAGGAGGGGCCGAAGCGGGCCCACGTTTGTAACAGTTTGTTCGGCACCTGCGGCGCTGCGCCCGTCTCACTCAGCGACATCCTCGCTGACGACATGGGAAACGGCGCCCCTTCGAAACATTCCGAGATCCTCGCCCTCAAAAAGGAGCTGAGGAAGAAGGATCAGATGCTACTCTCACTCCAGAGGGAAATTCATAAACTCAGGGTGAGTCGTTTTCCCACTATTTTTTAAATTAAAATCAGTTTTACTAATAAATCCGTACAGTTCTCAAAATATAGACACCCTTAACCTTTGACCATATTACTTTAAAAAATATTATTTATTTTAATCAACGATAAATCATCGATAATAATTTAAAAAATTGAAAAAAGTTTCTATTTAAACATATATATTTTCCACATTTAATTTAGGGGGTGGTAACCGTTTTCCGGTTGAACATTTCATTTCTGACCATTTTATTTTTTTGGACTACTTTTACTCGATGGATTTCAATTTTGATACGTATTTCTTATTCAAAAGAGTCTGTACTCTTTGCTTAAGCATTAAAATTTTAAGTTTTACCTTATTTCACTCTTTTCTCAAGGATGTTTAATTGTTCGAAGAGAGACCAAAAAGTTGCAATTTTCCGGTACCGTGTCAAAATATATTTGGTAAATTTCATTTTTGAAAATATTGTTAAATTTAGGCACTATATAAAAATAATTTCTTCAATACTCAGTGGGATTTTAAATAAGGGACACAAATAATTGTTTTGAAGTGTGTGGTGATTAGTGACCGTTAATCGATATTTATTTAGAAATCGTCAGATGCGGTCTGGTGTGATGTAGGTTTCAGAAAACATTTTCTTTATCGTGCCAACGTTTCGATCTTTATCGAGATCATCTTCAGGGCTCAAAGTGTTTGTCTTTTGTGTAATTGGGCCATTCTTGCGTGTCGTGTGTGATTGGGCACTCTCAACACGACACGCAAGAATGGCACAATTACACAGAAGACAAACACTTTGAGCCCTGAAGATGGTCTCAATAAAGATCGAAACGTTGGCACGATAAAGAAAATGTTTTTCTGAAACCTAAATCACACCAGACCACATCTCACGATTTCTAAATAAATATTGTTTTGAAGGTTTGTAGAGGAGCGTATCTGACGCTAGATTATCTTAACAAGCTAGATTTTCCAGTCGAGTTGGTTTTTCAACAATCAGATTCGCAATGTTAAAAAAAAATAAATAAATAAAAAAGAATAAATAAATAAATATAAAAAATAAAACACTTCTGAATAAATAGTTAAAATTTAATGAACTATTAAAGAATACTTTTGTCTAATTACAAACAATTTTTATCCATCTATTATCTTTCCACATACATTCCAGTCGTTGCTATGCAATGATTTCAAGTTTTTCAACGCTAATTTGAATTTTTCAATTAATTAAGGTTTTTAGTTGAGATAAAAAAGTCAGTGTCACGAGCGGGATTCGAACCCACGACCTTCGGCTTGATACGCCGCTACTCTCCTACTTGAGCTATCGTGACCTCGATCCACTCGGGCACTAACTTCCATCTCAACCGCACCTATTGAGTTTTCCCTCCTTTTTGCCATTTTTCAAATGTCGTGTAATCTATTTGATTCTCGGCTACAAATGAAATGGCCACGGAGAGCTTTAGCGAAGGTCATTTTAACTTATTAAATTCACTAGTTTTCGTGGTCCACTTACCAATTAATATCTTTCAATTAATTAAGATTTTTAGTTGAAATTAAAAAGTCAGTGGCTAGATACGCCGCTGCTCTACCACTTGAGCTGTCGTGACCTCGATCCACTCGGACACTAACTTCCTATCTCAACCCCACCTTTTGAATTTTCCCTCCTTTTTGCCATTTTTCAATTCCTTTTTTACCTCAACTAAAAACCTTAATTGAAAGATATTAATTGATCAAGCGGACCACGAAAACTGGTGAATGTGTAGAGATTGTTTTTCAAAGAAACAGCTGACTATGAGTTTCTCGTATGTTAATTTCTGTGGCCGGATTCAAAATTGGATATGAAAAACGAAATTTTCGGGAAATCGCTTTTGAAGATTAATTTTCCCCCACAATCGATGGTTGATCAAATTTCCCACAAATGTGCTTTTCCGATTATCTTATATTCGGCCTAGCTTCCTGAGATGTTAAAAAAACTATAGAAAAGAAAGTACAAGATAGGCCAAAGTAGCAAAAACCATTTTTAGAAAACCCACCTAGGAATGAAGAATTATTTATTATTCCACTTTTTAACCCGATTTTGGCAATTGTTCTGTCAACTTTTCTGTCTAACTAAACCACTTGTCACTGGGAAATATACATACATCCACTACAAATGATCAAAACCGAACTATAAAAAGAAAATATTGAAATATGTATTGGTATAAATTTTGTATAATTAGAAAAACTCTATGTATTAAAAAAATATTAAACAGATATTGGTTACCTTCTGAACCAAGAGGGTAGCGACCCTTTTGAGTTACGAAAACTATATTGTTTATTTTTTATAATAAATGAAAATCTTATATAAACAGAATGAAACCTACCCCATGAGATTATGTGGTTCAGAATGCTTGATTTTTTTAAATTGAGAATTTGTGAACTTGTAACTTAGCCATTTCTTAAGCTGTTTGAAGACTCTCAAATATTTAGGCAGAAATCACCTTCCAAACTAAATTACCGTTAAAAATCAATACTCTTTTTCAAGAGCAATTTGCATGTATCATTTTAATGGTGTAACTTGGGCCTAAAATTAAAAAGTTGATCTCGACCGGAAAACCACTTATCGTGAAAAGTTGTGTTTTTCCACATTTCTGTATACTTCTCTTCACACCTATTCATTATATTGAAAGGAATTTTTTTCTCTCGTAAATCGATAATTATGGCTAGAACCTTTCTTTGAAAACTCAGTGAGGATTTTTATTATTCCACTTTTTAACTCGATTTTGACCATGTTTGACTTAATTTTTCTGACTAACTAAACCACTTGTCACCGCAACCAGAGATTTAATGATAAGCAAGTGATGACACATATACACTGAGAGGCAAAAAATGTGGCCACCTTGGAAAAAAATACCCCAATTAGAAAAATTGAAAATTGAAATTATGATTGAAATACTTCAAGATATCAACTACATAGCAACGACTGGAATACATTCCACATAGAAATTTTCTGTAATTAGGCAAGAGATTCTTTACTGGTTCATTAATTGTAACTATTTGGTTCAGAAGTGATTGACTTTTTTAAAAATTCAATCGGAAAATCTAGCTTGCTAACTATACAAACCTACAAAACGATTATTTGTAGATCCTTCTTTAAAATCCCAGTGAGGATTTAAGAAATGATTTTCGAGCCGAAGATCGTGGGTTCGAATCCCGCTCTTGACACTGACATTTTTATCTCAACTAAAAACCTTAAATAAATTAAAGATATTAATTGGTCAAGCGGGCTACGAAAATTAGTGAATTTAATAAGTTAAATAGGGGGGGCGTCGGTGGCCGCAAGGTTTAGTCTTTGACACGGCGCTCATCACTGTAAGGTAAAGGTCCCGGGTTCGAATCCAGCGGCCCTGCATTCGAACTCGACATACTTACAAATGGGCTTTTTTTCAAAAACACCGGTACCCGGAGGGTTTATATGACCTCTGCTGTTGCGAACCCTCGTAAAAAAAAAAAAAAAGTTAAATGAATTATATCTTCACTAAAGCTCTCCGTGGCCATTTCACTTGTCGCCGAGAATCAAATAGATTACACGACATTTGAAAAATGGCAAAAAGGAGGAAAAATTCAAAAGGTGGGGTTGGGGTGGGAAGTTAGTGTCCGAGTGGATCAAGGTCACGATAGCTCAAGTGGTTAGAGCAACGGAGTATCTAGCCGAAGGTGAGGTTCGAATCCCGCTCGTGACACTGACTTTTTTTTATGATGAGAGATAGTGAGATATAGAGATATCATTAATGTAAGCAGTCCATCGTGTCGTACTTTATCAAGTAAGGTTTTTTTTCTTTAAGGGAGGAGGCAATGTCAACGATGACTGTAGGCAAATCAATTCGACCTTAGTGCATTTCTGAATAAATTTCACAATTACTAGGTAATCAGATGACACTTCAGTGTTGATTTTTCCCTAGTCATGGCTTAATTTGAAAGAACGAGTTGGATACCTGATGAAAATAATATCCTGGCTTTTTAATAATCAATATTTTTCATGTGATCTGACTTAAAATACATTTCCGTTTTCAGCATGTATCACAATGGTTCGAAACGAGCCGTCTGCCCATTTAGAACGGTCTCACAGTGAATTGCTACCTTTCATGGAAGATCTGGTTTCCCTGGTTGCTCCACGTCGCGTTGTTGAAATAGGTCCACTTTATGTATTTAAGTGAAGATCAGTTGATCAAGCATACGGTTTAGATTGAAATGAGAAAACCTATAATCATTTTCAATATACTGCTACATTAATAACCATAAAAAAGCGAATAGTCATAAAATTTTCTTGCAGTTTTGATTTTTTTTTAATCCAAACCTTTGGTTCGTTCGTTATTCGCTTTCAAAAAAAAATATCGTTTTAATTACTTACTTTTTTAAGTTTGCAATACAAAAACAACCCCAGGCGGTAATTTTCACCTGCTTACGAAACAATACTGCCATAAAGACCGTCGTTCAAATGAATAGCATAGCCATTCCAAGCAATTAAGATTGCAAGCTCTTTTATTAATTTCGATTTCTAATTGCCCAATCGATCGTTTCACCCCTGGGTGGTAAATTTCAACCGTCCGTGCAAGATTATAAAATCTGTGTGAATAAACTCAAAATAAGGAGGGCCGGAAATAAAATAACATTTAATATCAGGATTATAGCATGAATATTATGCCACCCCTGGCCCGCTTAATTTAGCTGGTATGTTATATTTTACGTCCGACTGTTATATCGTGCCCTACACGATTAGGGAAAAGATTTGTAATCCTTGGAGTAATTTTTTTTTTTGATATCACTGGAATTAAATTTTTTATTTTATTTCGCTTTTAAGTTACGTAAAAATCTTAGCTTTTCAGTCCTGCAGAGGTAAAACATAAAAATAAGATCGAACTATGTACATGTTTGAAGAGAAAAAGTTTCTAAATTGGTTTACTTTTGTGTTTACACAGCCTTTCTATTAAAACTATAATTTTTTAGTATCAAAATAAATTGGTCGT